GCTCCCAAGAGGCCCCCAAGAGGCCCCCAAGAGGCCCCCAGAGGCCCCACGAGGCCCCCAAGAGGCCCCCAAGAGGCCCCCAAGAGGCCCCCAAGAGGCCCCAAGAGGCTCCAAGAGGCCCCCAAGAGGCCCCACGAGGAGCCCGAACGACTCACACCAGGACGAAAGGCCCGAACGGCTCGCACCACGAAGAGCCCGAACGACTCACACCAGAAGGATGGGCCCGAACGACTCACACCAGGACGAGGCGCCCGAACGACTCACACCACGAGGAGCCCGAACGACTCACACCACGACGAGGGCCCCGAACGACTCACACCACGAGGAGCCCGAACGAGTCACACCACCAGGAGGAGGGGCCCGAACGACTCTGTCGGCATGCTTCGCAAGAGTTGCTGTTGTGAGATGGGCTGGTGGGGATACGCGAAGCGTAAAGAATTTCGAAGCGAATCCACCGGTGGCGACGAGGCCCTCCTGAGGAAGCTCCAAACAAGTGAAAACCAGGCAAGGGTAGCGGCATGGCCAGGTCGGGCACGCCCCCCGCACAGGGGGACTTTGGACGACAAAAATGAAACATTGACAACAAATATTGAAAACGATTCACAAATGGTCGAAAGTCGTTCCCGAACTATGTATTAAACTATTGTTGCATATTCCTCCTGCAGAGGGACGCGCCCGACTTAACGGGACGGGTACCTTTTCCTTCTCCGCCTCCCCGTGGGCCCCTGTCAGCTCCTGGACAACCTGCGGCAAGTCCCGCCGCTGACGCCGCGGCAACTGCGCTCTCGGCCTCCGACGCCTCAGATTCGGTCGCCAAGCGTCGACCGTCTCCCCGCGGCCTGGCACGGGGACTTCGCGACGCGAAAGCATCCCTCCGAACTCTCAAAAGCCGGGCTGGGGCCCCAGCCCGACTCGGGCTCGACAGCTTTTGGAACAGCACGCAGCGAATGCGCGCGAGAAGGGCGGCGGCGAGGACGCGAGACTCTTGGAGGCCGAAGTTGAATTTTTGCTGGGCGGTGGGCGACCAAAACCCAGGGACGCAAGGGCACCCTAACCCGCCCCCGCCCCTGCCGAATTGGCGTCGGTGCCCAAGGAAAACAACGCAGGGGCACAGGGGTACCCTAGAAAAGGCGTGCGTCCTTACTGCGCGCGTTGACTGAATCAGTCTCGCCAAACTGTTTCGGCATATGCTTTTTCATGGGGCTCGTGAAAGAGTTTCTCGCCATGTAGAGACCTCTGTCTCAGACCGTTCTGTCGTCGACTCCGGCCAAGCGCGGCTTGCTGCAGCGGGCGGGTCTGCCCAACGAGAACATCATGCGGGACGCCCCAGCACAGACAACTCCCCCGTGCTATTCCTCATCATGCAAGTCTTCGGCGGTCCTCTTCCAGCACTCGACGCCCCCGAGAGTGATGGTCTCATTTCCCGCGCTTTCTCGTTCGCGCGCATTCCCTTCGCGTGGGGCCTTGTGACATTAGTCTGCCAACCACCCCCATTGTACGGGGCTGCCGTTTCCTTCCAGATCTCTGCCTCGCGCGCCTGGTCGGGGCCCAGACATGGGCATCTCTTTGCACTTGGGTTCGGCATTCCTTCGAAGATCATCCCCCGCTGCCCCCAATCGTTCAGTTCCAGTACTTGCCCGTGTAATTTGGGCACGTTGCACACTCCTGCCCCTGCTTCGGATCGAATGACCCTTCCCTGCGCGCGGGTTATTGCATTTCGTCCTCTGCTCTCGCCTGGCCAGCTCCACTGGGGTCGCCTTCCGCTGTTCCAGGCGTTCCCCGCCCATCTGGCTCTTCCGCGACCTTCTCAGAAGCGGCTCCGCTCTGCTCGTCGCTGCTCCGCCCTGCGCGCCTATTATCTTCGGCGTTTTCTGTGCCATATCCCAGCATATCTCTACTCGCTGTTCGCCACTCAGATGCGGCCGCCGCCGCGCCTGCCAACGCCTGGCCGCGGCCGCCGGATGTGATTATGTCGGGCGTTTGCTTGTCATCCTGACAGCAATGAGACGAGCATCCTCTCTGGGTCAATTTCTCCAAAACATAAGCAATCGATAATTCTGGACCCCCCAGCTGAAAGCGCTCGCGCCTGACAAAATCACCCCCGCTACAACTGCGGTTTTGCAGGCCGTCGAGCGGACGCATGCGTATCTCTAGCGTGTAATTATCCCCGTCAGTGAAGCTATCCTCTGGATAGCAACGAAACCGATTTCAACTGCTGGCGCCTTGGGCGGAAATTGACGCGCGGCCGCAGGCGTGCGCGCGCAGTCTGCGGCGGATGGCGACGGCGGCAATAACGATGCCAAACGAGCACGTCAGTTGCAGGGCGGGGAGGAGTGCCAGAAGGACGAGGGCGAGGAGTCCTGCGCGCGAGGGGCGCGGGCCCCGACCTCTCGGCGCCGCGGCGCGGCGCCTCTCATGCCCTTGGCGGAGATGGCGTCGGAGAGCACGGTGAAAAAAAGAAACCCTCGTAGCCGACGAAGCCAGAGAACCCAGTGCATGAGATGTGGTGAGGTTCTGCCTTTTGATGGCAACGAGCTTCCCCGAGGACAGCATGACCCCGATGCGCTCGTCGCTCGCGTGCAACTTTGGCATGACTCCACTCTCGCCATTCAGCGCGGCGGCGCGGAGGCCGCGCGGGCAGACATGATCACCCAGAGACCACGCCCTGGAGAAGGCGACGCCGTCCGAGCCCTCGATGTAGTCCGCGTTGTGGTCTTTGTCCTTGTCCTTGTTTTTGTCTTTGACCATGCCAAGGTCACTGTCGGCGACGAAGACGACGTCCTCGTAACCAGGAGCGCTCGCAAAGTCGATGCGCGCGCAAGGGCACGAGCATGGCGGGATCTCGGCGCGGATGTACTTCGTGGGGCCTCCGCATCTCGCGCAGCGAGCGGCTCTCATAGCGGCACCACGTGAGTTCTTTTGTTTGGTTTTGCCCTCATGCGTGTTCTTGCCCTGGTCCGAATCTTTGCCCAAGTCTTTACCCTTCACTTTGGTTTCCTGGTCGTCCTTGCCCTTACCAGGGGCACCACGCGGTGTCGCAGGAGCCTGCATCAGCGGAGCCGCCGAACATGAATGAGAGGCCGAACTCCTCGAGGAAGAAACCGCAGAACTTGACGAGGACGGAGAAGCTGACGCAGGAGCAGCCACTGACGGAGACGTAGAAGCGCCTGCAAACCTCGAAGGTGTCGCAGAAGAGCACGACGCCGAAGTAGGAGTAACGCAGGAAGAAGCCGCCACCCACGTCGGAGGGGCAGCGCACCGAACAGCAGCGTCACGAGGAGGAACATGCACACCGCTGGAGGGGCCAGCCGCCGCACAAGGCGACGCAGGAGGCGCAGCAGATGAAGTAGAAGCCCCAGAAGCATGGCACACAACTTGAAGGAGGTCATGGTCAGCTTCTCGGAGGCCCTGAACCACGTCAGGACCCCGAAGACGCGAAACACCGCCATCAAGTTGAAGGTCTTCGGGCTGATCATCGGCATCTGGCGTAACAGCACCACCGGCCGCCAGACGCCCCTCGAAGATGCACAATTCCATCTCGAAATCAAGATCGTGTGAGAACGTGTAGTTGTCAGCCACACCAGGCGGCGGAGAAGGGGAGGAGCGCGGATGTCCCTCGGCACACCCTGCGTCGCGACGAAGGTCGGCAAGGAAGCTAACAACGTGCTGAAAATCACCTCCGCCACAGACCAGACACCCACCGGCGTGATGATCGGCGCGTGCGCGACACGGGTAACGACCTGCAGCACCTGCGAGACCGCGTGCAACCCGAGCGTGAGAACATGCACCAGAACACGATCTGGACGAGCCTCACGCCGAGGAAATAGTGCGTCCAGCTGGAATTCGCGTTTGTCCGATGTGTGCGTGTGTGGAACAGCCGCACCAGGAGGAACGACAGGGACCCAATGTTTGGCACGGCCAGCACGCGTGTTGATGTCCCTCAGTTGCTTAAGCGAATCGGTGTCAAGGCAGGGGGCGGCCAGCTCAATCGCGGTACGAAAGCTATGGGAATGCATACCAGCTGCCGTCTGTACCACTGAGTGTGCAGAGAGGCCTTGCACGACGTCTTTGGCATTCGACGTCAGGTGCTCGGGGACGTCGATGTATCGCATACCGGAGGGAAGAGCACGAAGAAATCCACGAGCACGGGCCCGCTCACGACGAATTCCCAACTTCAGCGGCGAGCGGAAGCGAACCGTGAAGCAGATCACTCCAGAAGCAAGCACCACGAGAAAGGCGGCGACGCGCACCATAACATGCGGAAGGTAGGGCGCGTCTGGGGCCCCAGCCTAGCATGCGGTTTGAGCCAAAATGGTTACGGACGAGGAGGGCGAGAAGGAGGAGGGGGAGGAGAAGGAGGAGGGCGAGGAGGAGGAGGAGGAGGAGGAGGAGAAGGAAAAGGAGGAGGGGGAAGAGAAGGGCGAGGGGGGGAGAGGGGGGAGGGGGGGAGGGGAACGAGGAGGGAAAGGAGGGGGGCAGGACAAGCTAGGTGCGCTCGCGTCATATCTGACATCCTACCCCTCCCTCCCATCCCTTACCATGGCGCAGATCCCCTCTCTACTCGCTCAGTCGGATGTCGAGCAGGGCAATGATCCCGAAAGGGTACGCGATGCATTGTAGAGCACGGCATGGCATGGCGTAGAAGAGCACCGCAAAGCGTAGTATCACCCTAGCATTGCATTGCATGCCGTGGCATGGCACGGGAAATGACGCCAGCGCTGCAGCGGGAGCACGATTCGGAACGAGCGGAAGCACGGAAATGAGGCCAGCGCTGCAGCGGGAGCACGATTCGGAACGAGCGGGGCCCGAAAATGAGGCCGGCGCCTCAGCGAGAGCAGCATTTTGAAAACAAGTGCAGGCGAAAACCCAACTCTGGGGAAACCTGTGTAAAAAAACCGTGCGCGGGGGGGGTCGAGCACTTTCAAACCGTCATCAGGGGAAGAGGGAGAGTAGTATTCATATTGAGTAATTGTAGAGGAGGGTGGGGAGGGAAGATGGGCCTTTCCCTGCGGCCCGCTGCCGCCCAGCAACGACCGCTCCCGCTCGGCGCCGAAGCTGGCCCGGCTCAGCGCGAGTGCTGGCACGCCGAGAGCGTCCGTCGTCGCTGCGCCCGCAACCTGCGACCCCGCTTGCTGGCCCGCGGCCGCGAGGCCCTCCAGCAGAGCGTCCTCGCCCTCCTCCAGGGGCTTGTCAGACCTTGAGATCCTGGCGTTGTACATTTTTTGCAACGGGCGTTTCCCCGCGATTTCGGGCCCCGGGACCCTGATAGATCGATCGGGCTCGAAAAATGACGCGGAAAGATGGGGTCTGGTGGTCGGGGCGTGATTTTTTGCGATGTTGCAATTTTTTGGCAACGTTGGATCTCAGGGGAGGTGCTTCCACGGCGCCCCAAGCCTCCAAGCCTTGCACGCCATTTTCTGGGCGCTGCTACTGGGGGGCGATGAAGGGGGTGGGGGGGAGGGGCGAAGAAGCGTGACACTTTCAGGCCCCAGGGGGGCCCTTTAGGGCCCCTAAGGTGCACAAAAGGTGCACTCTTCTTCTCCCCCATTTATCGCTCCCCCCCCCATTGCGCAACGCCCGAGTTTGGGACGCTGGGCCCTCCGGGCCTCGTGAGGGGTGCTCGAGAGGCCATGGTTGGGACCTCCCTGGAAATCCTGGTGAGATCTCGCCAGGGGCACATTTAGCAACACCCGATCCTCTTCCAATTCCGCCTCCTCGGCTCCGCCAGCGCCATCCTGCGCCTGGGCTCTCCGCTTCTCCTTCTGCCTCCTCTTCGCCTTTTTGCCCTTGGCCTTCGGGGCGGGGGCCTCCTCTGGCGGCGGCGCGACCAGCGCTGCAGCGGCGACGGACTCGCCACCAGACTCCTCGGCCGAGCTGTCAGCGAGCAGCGCGAAGGCGGAACGGCGGGGGCCTGCAGGGTCGTCGTTCAAGGCTCCAGCGCTGACTTCCTCCTCCACGCAGCCCTCGTCCGAGCCCGCGCCGCAGGGGCCATCGCGCTCCTGCAGGCGTCGCAGCTGCTTCGCGGACATGCTGCCAGTGGGCAGAGTTCCCAGACGTATCCTGAAGCCAGAAAGCGGCATGAGGATGATGACGATCAGAAGAGAGGAGGAGGCAATGAGGATGAGGATGAGGATGATGGTGATGATGGTGATGATGGTGATGATGATGATGATGATGATGATGATGATGATGATGATGATGATGATGATGATGATGATGATGATGATGAGGGGGAGGAGGGGGAGGGAAGGATGAAGACGAGGAGGAGGAGCAGGCGGAGGAGAAGGAGGAGAAGGACATATGACGATGACGTTGAAGATGATGGCCGTGATAATTCGACCCGTTGCTACAAGACACCGCTGCTGCCAGGAAACAGTCCCTGGGAGCAACCCACTTTACTGGGATTTCGACTCCATAACTGACAAGTTGAAGGGGCCACCCCATCCGTTGACCGTGGTCTAATTTGCACGCTTCCGCGGGATTGTGCTACAATTTCCCTCACTGTGGCGAGGCATGTTGCGGATCGACTTGCCTGAGGGACTCTGAGGCCCGCGTAGTTTGCCAACTGATGCGATGAAGGTCTTTGAACCGTATGCTTATGTGACCATGCGTGCTTTACGTTTCTCCAACGTGCTCTTCGTCTCTATGCGAATTGGGTTTAGAATTTCTGTGTGGCTGATCTTCCTGTCGCACGCTTTTTGTTGCGCGGTGGCACTTGTAATTTGTGTGCTCTCTGCTTACCTCGCGGACGGCGCGAATGACTGTGAAATGGATGTCCGTCAGCACGTGGGTTGACACGCATGCTTTTGTCGAAAAAGCGTGCGATCGTACGCACAAGTGCGCTCCAAACGATGTTGTAAGAAATCAGGATCCCCACTTTGGCTGTGATGTGGGGAACGCATGTCGAAACCAGAAAAGCACAGCAAGCAACACAAACGAACGTACGTACATCAAGGTAGCGTGCTAAATGGCAGGGCAGAGCAGGGCGGAACTGAGCACGGCGTCGAGAAACCATCTTGCTCGCACTGGCTTTTGCTTACCGTGCTCACCTTCCGTAATCTGCCTCCGCTCGTTTTCCGTTCCTTTTCCACTTCTCCTCCTTCTTCGTCCCTCGTCGTCCTGCTTCTCTTCCTGCTCCGCATGTTCCTCCTCCCTGCTCCTCGTATGTACTCGAAATTGCGCTGATGGCGTGCAATAAAAAACCCGTGCGTCTTTCAGTCGGAAGCACCTTGGTCGCCCTGCCACACCCATCCGCACACCGCAGAGAAAGATTGGAGGTGAAGGGGGGATACCTCCTGCACTCTGGAGGCTTAACCTCTCATCTATTGCGCAGGTTCTTGACCATCTGGATGTTGGAATGCATTCGGACACGCTCGCCGTGCTCGGTCTCCAGCCTGTTCGCACCAGATTGTCCCCGGGAGGGTCTCGAACCTCAGCGGATCGGTGTCCAAAAATGCAGTCAACAGCCTCCTCGCTGGATGCTGCAACGTCCTGTGTGAAGATTTGGGTCCCCTCGGCATTCTCCGGTGGGGAGCGTGCGCGTCCCCATGACTACTGAGGGAGGAAGAGAGGTGTGTCGCTCGTACACTGGGAGGAAGAAGTGTGTGTGTGCGTGTGTGTGTGTGTGCTTCTGTGCGTGTTTCTCTGTGCGTGTGCTTGTTTGTGTGTGTTTGTGTGTGTTTTGCGCGCGTGTGTGTGTGTGTGTGTGTGCGGTGTGCATGTGCGTGTGTGTGTGTGTGTGTGTGTGCGTGTTTACGTGTGTGTGTGTGTGTGTGTGCTTGAGTGTGTGTGTGTTTCTGTGCGTGTTTCTCTGTGTGTGTGCTTGTTTGTGTGTGATTGTGTGTGTGTTCGTGTGTGTGTGTGTTTGTGTGATTGTGTGTGGTGTGTGTTTGCGTGTGCGTGTGTGTGTGGTTATACATGTGCGTGTGTGTGTGTGTGCGTGTCTGTGTGTGCTTCTGTGCGTGTTTCTATGTGTGTGTTTTTGTTTGTGTGTGTTTGTGTGTGTGTGTTTGTTTGGGTGTGTTTGTGTGTGTTTCTGTGCATGTTTCTCTGTGTGTTTTTGATTGTGTGTGTGTTTGTGTGCTTGTTGTTGTGTGTGCTTGTGTGTGTGTTTGTGTGTGTGCGTGTGTGTGTGCTTCTGTCTGTGCGTGTGTGTGTGTGTGTGTGCGTGTGTGTGTGCACGTAGAGGTGTGTGTGTGTGTGTTTATGTTCGTGTTTCTGTCTGTGTGTGTTTGATTGTGTGTGTTTGTGTGTGTGTGTGTGTCTGTGTATGTGCTTCTGTGCGTGTTTCTCTGTGTGTTTGTGCGTGTGCTTGTGTGTGTTGCGTGTGTGTGTGTGTGCTTCTGTGCGTGTGTGTGTGTGTCTTTGTGTGTGCTTATGTGCGTGTTTGTGTGTGTGTGTTTGATTGTGTGTGCTTGTGTGTTTGTGTGTGTGTTTGTGTGTGTGCGGGTGTGTGTGTGTGTGCTTGTGTGCGTGTTTCTGTGTGTGTGTGTGTTTGTGTGTGTTTGTGTTTGTGTGTGTTGTGTGCTGTTGTGCGTGTTTCTCTGTGTGTGTGTTCGTTTGTGTGTTTGTGTGTGTGTTTGTGTGTGGTTGTGTGTTCGT